ATTTTTTATCCGCGTGCACCTTTTCGGGGCTTCTGGCCGTTTTATTCATTTGAATACTCGAATTATTACTATTACAGTGGGTAGATTATTATTAAACCGATCAAAATATCATAATATCACAAACTTTTTTTTTTTTTTTTGCCGTTCACTTTGAGTTTTGACATAACGACAGTTCTCCGCAAAACKAATTAATTCATAATATTACACAACCATTTGCTGGCCGGCAGGTTCGACAGCGAACGGGTCACTAGACGGGTTCTTCGGGGCGACCAGACCTCGGACTGCGTACAACGCTACCGCGGTTCTGTACAGCCCGGCCGGACGCGCCCTCGCCCGACTGTCCGACTCGCTGCCGTTCGCCACAGGTACGAACGGTGTCCTCGACCTGTTGGCCATGCGGTACGAGTCGACGGTCCGGTGCAACCCGTCGGCCGCGGGACCGCGCACCCCGTCGCCGTGCCCGGCCGGCGAGGCGTGCCTGTTCGACCTGGTGGCCGACCCGTGTGAGACCAACAACGTGGCCAAAAAATACGTGGCCGTCAGTGGACAGCTGTACGAGGCGCTCAAGTACTACAGACGGCTGCTGGTACCTCAGACCAACCGGCCGTTCGACCCGGCCGCCAACCCGGCCCGGTTCAACAACACGTGGACCAGTTGGACGTACTGACCGACCGACCGATGATCATCCGACCGACGCATCGTACCTATATAACGTTAGACGGGGCTGTGGACCGAATGCACTGTATTATTATATTATCAAAGATTCACTCAAAACGGATTCCGATGCATGATCATAACATACACTAAAATACGCGATYAAAATTAAGTATATCGAGTCTTATTAGTTTTACTGCAAAACAAACGAAAACCCATAATATGTTTTCTATACGTTCATGCATTATTTTAGCTGACGAAAATATGATWTAGGTAATTTGTGGGAGATGATTCGAATTTGATCAAATATTTTTTGACACAATATGGTTAGGACAGTTTAATCATTGGTGCATAATATTTAAACAATACTGCATTTTTTTAAGACCAAATTCGTGTTTTTGATTTTTTACAAAAAAAAATTCATGCTTATATTGAACAATTTTTAGCGCATTCAATTCACTGGCCCTTAGTATGCTGTATAATACACTATATGTTTAAATGTATTGTTACGTCTTAGTAGACTAATTAATTTAGTGCAGAAAAACAGAAAGTATATATTCTCTGTTAATGTGTAGGTACAGTAATCAGATGAATAATTATAGCTTAACATTCTCGAAGTAATTTACAACTTAACACGTGACCTTGCGTAAGCAGTTACCTACTATGTTATTGTTGTAGTACGATTACTATAAAATGTAGTGATATCGTAAAACGGTCAAAAACAATAAGCCTTATTAATTTCTGCAGATTTTCAGACGAGATAAACAATTCGTTAAAATGTATTTATTCCTATCACTATAATTATATAAACACTCCAGAAATACCAAATAATACCACATATAGACTGTAACCATAATATTAAACAAACAGATCGGTTAGACTGCCGCTTTACAGGAAGAGTTGCACCCACTTCATAATATGTTTGGTGCCTGTTTGCCATCTCGACATTTTGTAYCTTTCCGGAGAATTAATAGTAAGCGTGTACTTGGTGTCCTCTTGAGAACCGTATTGTTAAACATTGCTATAGGTTCTCGTCCATGTAGTTGTAATAAGTATATTTTTATTTTGTGTAATTTATTAATATTACATTTCCTTATATTTATTGTACTGTACGTCGGATGAATTCGTTAATCATACTTTTGAATGCTTATATTGATAAGTAACTTAATATAAATAAGTATCGAAGTGTGTAATATTATATTCAAGATACAACAAAGTACGATTCCAACTTACCAAAGAAATTAATTTTATCGAACAATTTTGTATAAAATTTAATTGTGAAGAATTTACATTTTCAATTATTTATTTAGAATTGTTCTTGGTATTTTCATTATAATATTTTAGGTTACATAGTWGACATTTTATATTTGATGATAAATACATATACATTTTTATATAACTAGTAAACAGATGATAAGATACTTCGATACTGTAGCCCTATTGCGACATAATATATTATATTATAATAATTGTAGTGTGCAAGCTATAGTTTAAATTTCCAAATTATGCATGTTAAATAATATTATATTATTTTTTAATCGAGAATAGAGGCTTAATTAAAAGGTCATTAGCCAATAAGTTTTAGACGTCTGTATAMTCATTCATAAATTATTCATACGCCTATAGCCTTGATGCTCAGGTATAACATTAAAAAAAATAATATGTTAATATAATAAATTATTTTACGTTGAAATATCTCTACCGGGATGGTTTTAACTCTTTTTTTCATGCCATTATTTTATTTATTATTATCAAATAAGCTCATTGTTCAAACTTGTATCAGATAGAATAAAAAAAAATTCTGAAAAAAATAAGTAATACAATTTTAATTCTATGACCTAAAGCTTAGATTATAAACTGTACGGTCTTGTCTTATTGAGATACTATTTTGATAATTCACTTTTAATTTGATGTTTAATTTAAATGTAATAGCTTTAAGCACAGTGTCATTATTTTTTTTAAGAACTGACAAAATGTATTTTCAGGGTACAACATATAATAAATATGTATTTATGCGATTTTCTATAATTGTATACTAGTATTATTTATATTTATATTTTAATATATAGGTACTATATTTATTATGATAATTCAACCCTGTATATTTATCTGAATGATGAAAAATTAAAGGAAATACGTTTATTATTTTCATTATATATATTTTTTTTTTTTGAATACTTATCAAATTTGTATTTAGTTGTTAGATACAGTTATATCAATGATGAGGAATAATAATATTAAGAAATATTTTCATTATCGACAATGCTATAATATGATAAACTATATCGTGATAACAATTAATAGTTATAGCCTATATAGGCACCATAACGTGAATCTAAGTGATTGTCCGACTAGCTCGGTCGGTAGAGCACGAAACTCTTAATCTCGAGGGGTTCCAGCCTCATGTTGGGCGCCCCTTTGTCGTATTTACTGATTAACTCCAAACGTACACAAATAAATGAACTAATTACTAAGCACTTTATAACACACAGACGTCTGCATGATCACTACAATCTGAATACAATTCAGTTTCCGACGTTGACTATATTTAAACACGCATAATAATAATTAAAAGTTAACACCACTTCACTTACTGTTTTGTCCAACAGTGCGTCACACTGATCACATCAAGCATAATCACTGAAGGACCCACATTTTTCTAGTTCTATCACTTATGCAATACGTATTTTCGCTTAACCTAGTTACTATTTCACTACATCTGCTAAAAGCTTACTGACTAAGACTTAATACCAAATATATTGTAACTTATTAGTCATTACAAACCTAGCTGTTTGCTTAATTTAGTATTGATATTTTAATAATAAAAATTTTTTTTCTATATTATTCATAATACAATAACACATTCAAGAATTTTCTAAAAAAGTTGTTAATTATAAAATTGTTCTGAATTTCTGCGAGAAAACCACACAATATGTACCGAATAGTGCGCTTCTTACGTAGTGACTTATGAAGTCATGACACATCTATTCGCGAATGTAAAAACATACATGACAAAAAGCATTGGAAAACTCGATCGTAGGACCTCTGGTCTAGAAAAATAAGAATGAAAACTGAACAAGATAAAGTGGGAAAAAAACAGCAAAAAAATTGAGATTATAACTATCAAATTTATTTTACTATTTTACATTATTACAATACAATATTATTATCTACCGCAGTTCCGCGTAGTATGTGAAATAATAATAACAATATGTGAAGCGGCGCRGGAGACGACAGCTAACCTAATAACCTTACCTAATGGGAGACTTTAACGGTGCGATGATGAGAATTGATGGAGTTCGGGTTGGTGTTCCTGCAGCGGGTAGTTGTTGTGTAGCGACTGTTGCAGTTCGTAGTCAACCTGGGGTGGGGCTGCGGCGGCGGCGTGTTCGGCGGCAAAGTCAAACTTGTATGATGAGTCGTCGGCGGRTGCAGGTGACGGGAGGATGTGATGTTTACCGTGCACCGGTTCGATCCTCTTCACTACGGCCCTAAAACCGTGCTCGTCATCGGCCGTGTACTCGACCACGCGGGTGGAGCCGTCCGGTTCCACCAGGCTGTACGTGCCCTTCACCGACCCATGCCCGTCGCCCACCTCATTCTGGCTCTTCTCGTCGCCGGTCAGTGGGTCGTGAACCGCGTACTGAAAGTGATACGTCGAMCCGGGCTTGTGTGAGTCGTCACTGCCGTGCTCTGCGGTCGACGAGTCATCGTGAAGCTGGAAAGGAGACGCAGAGRCAACGGCGCATGCGGCCAGGACGAAGACTGCGACGACGCGGCAGTATGAAACCTGAAAAATGTGAAGCTGAATATCGTAATACAATACGTTATACGAGACCGGACTTGTGTAATAGCCCGTTTCAGGCCCTATTTTTTAGTGAACCCCGACACAAAATGTGTAATCCGAAATTGAAAGTGTGCACTACGGATTCGAGAAGTGTGTACCTACTAAATACTAATAAATAATACTACTTGCTAGATATATATCTAATAGATGCTAATAGGTAGTACAGAATACATTATACACATTTTTAAAAAATAATATTTTTTTAGCCCCCCACGGTTCTGTTATATTTCATGGTACATTAAAAGATGTGTAGTACGAATTTTTGTGAAAAATAGGGGCTGGCTCGTTTAGATGATCCTCGCGGAGATTTCAAACGCGATGTTATAATACAATAGGGTGACCATATTTAAAAAAAAATACAGGACAAAACTAATAATAATTTAATTTTTTTTTATTAATACTTAATATATATATATATATGTATTAACGATTATCAACAACTCGACAAAACTCAACGATTGTTGGTACCAAACTAATAACAATAGCTATTCGCTATAATAACGATAACCGTATTCACAAAACGTATTTTCAGTGATATAAATAGATAGAATCGAAAGCATATAGTCCGATAACGGTCAATCCAATAACTCCGATAAGCTCCAATAACTCGTAGACATACCCCATACTGATAAATTCAGACAATCACAAGATTACAATTATAATCATTATTCATTACTTTCGTAATGAAGAGAACCCGGTCGGTAAGAGACCCTTAGGAAGACCACGCTTACGCTGGGAAGACTGTGKAAAAAGGGATGTGGAAAACATTGAACCAGAGATACCATGGAGACTAGTGGCAGAAAATAGAGATAGATGGAGAGAAATTTGTTTGGCGGTATGGTCTCAATGACCGAAAACCAAAAAAAAAAAATCATTACTTTCGTAAGTTTCGATTTCAAATTCATTAATTTTGTTTGATCAAAAAAACAGGACAAAAAGCGTACTGAATRAAGTTTGTCAGGACAACAGGACACAACGCTGAAATAAAGGATAATTCTGTAAAAAACAGGACGTATGGTCACCCTATAATACCTACATATTGTGCACTAAAATATACTTGGCAAATCCTGCAATAAGCCCTAGCGCAGACACGTTAATAAACCAAAAGAAGAGCATAAAATAAGTAAATTTTAATTCGACACGGCCATTATAATGTTATATTTTGTACTATAATATTATACTCACACTCGYCTTATTAGCGTCCATATTATTGTCTGCAGTGTATTATCGTTGATTATGTATATACTTATCTCGCTGTGGCGCTAGGTATATAATATATAGGTAATGGTATATATACGCGTTGGTGCTTGAGCAGGTATATCGCATATAGATATATTATAAGACCGAGAAGGAGACGTGTTGCACTCGGAGTTCTTCTCGGCGAACTGATGACTGTTATCCGAAAACTCAGCATATTATATATATATATATATATACCTAATCCGTCATGTATGGTATGATAAGTAGGTAGATAGTACGTAAGACGGTGGAAAAAATATATTATATTATTATAGCGTAGGTAAGTGTTTATAACAATCGCATTACACAATAYACGGCAGGCACGCGTCTATAACAATATKATAATTATTATTAATCATAATAATATTATATTATACGGACCTATGCAGAGAGGTAGGTACTTACTCGCCTATAACGACGAGAAGTCTTCGTGTCCGCATTCCTCTCCGCGCGGTCCGCTCAGACGGAGATTTGCGTCGGTAATAATATTAATAATATAATATAACACGCCTAATAATACAGGTATATTAACCGATGCTGATGATGAACACCGACCGGCACGGGCAATCATAACGTTACATTATTCTGACCACGCGAAACGTTATGCACATGAACGTACCTACCTGGGTATAGATAATAAGGAAGATTGCAGCCGTTGCGAAAAGCGCATCACGAGAAAAACATGCGGTGTGGATGAGGAGGAGAAAAATAACGAAATCAATTACGACTGACGGTGATGGTTTATTTTAAAAACGTGGTATTAGATATAGGTAAAGCTATAGTATACACCTTACGCGTCGAAATCTGTGCAATGGAATCTTCGACTGCACACCATTATTGCGCGTGCTATGCACACTATAATATTATATAATATTATATACACACGCTGCAGCTGAAGCAGGGCAACGCGTTCGAATGGCCGACATGCATAGTCGTACAGCTGACTCGTTGGAGACGTACAACAGAGATCATATTATTATGTGATAATAATAATAATATTCGTTATTAGATAACGATAGTTTTAAGAACAGCGAAGTTAGCAACATGACACATWTTCAAAAAGGAAAATTGCCGTAAATCAGCCGAATAAAACATGAAAAATTTATTAATTTATATAAATTTAAATTTTTTAAGCTTTGTATGACCATTATCCAAAATAAAGGTATTTAGATAATGATTCAAAAATTATGGAAACAAAAACGGTCAACATGAAAGTGAACAAGTTGCTCACGGCTGTTATCAGGATTTTAAGAATATGCCAGTTGACCTCAACCAAATGCACCAGTTTCTCTCCCGTATTAATATATAGATACACGATTACAAATATAACCGTAAAATTAGAGCAGGTAATCATACAAATAATTTTAAAAAATAATTTGTAAAATAATGTAAAATGGTAGAATCAAATTTTTATATTTGCAGCAATTATATTATACAAATAATATAGATAAAATCAAAATTGTATTAATAATAATAGCCTACTTGGCGCGAACCGAGGATTTTACCAAAGCCCATCATTTTAGACGCGTCTAAGTGGATAGTCGATTTATAAGTAACGAATACCTATCGACATTTATAATTTATTTTATAAGGCTTTATCGGAGTATTCGGAATACGCTTGTTATTATCATTTATTTATTATATCTTTATAAGCATTTTTATGATTGTTAGAAATTACGACATGATACGATGTACGTCTTAGATAGGTACGTAGGTACATTTTTTAGAAGACGAAAAGCACTGACGTTATTATAACACGATGGATAATATTACGCGAGTGTGTAGTGAAAAGGGCAATATTTTGTTCGTTTTAAATGATTTTACTTTTTATAAAGATCACATTACATAAGTGGATGTAAAATAGTGACGTATTAGATGATATAATACCACCAGAACCATTGAATTCCCTTCTTAATGGAAGTCACATAAAACATAAGCAATTTATACGCGATATTCGTTATTACGACAATGCTTTCCAAATGACTTCATTCGGAAGTAAGCAGGTAGTTCATAAAGGGTTTAT